GCGTGTTTGTGTAGCGCCTCGGAGCATTAGCGCTAATTGGCGAGCTCATAATGCCGCGTGGGAGCTAATCAGGCCAGTGTTGATGGGCGCATTAATTAGCCTCCAGTGAGCGCGGCTAACGAGGCCCTGATTCATACAGTGTGTTAGCATGATGTTAGGAGCGGGTCGCCAACACCGGAGGTCACGCCGTACAACCAGGAAGAGCGCGAGGGTTCAATTCCCCCACTGGCGTTGTCAAGGTTCAAGGAGCTGCATGCAAAGACGCTACATGGAGACAACAAACACAGACCTGGAGATGTGTTTTGTTTCATTCACACAAATCCTGCATATTCTTCTCTCAAACTGAAAACACTCACTTCCACGTCTCTCTGGCAGCAGGAGACGATGGACCAGTGGACTCACTTGGTCACTGCATCCAACAGATCAGTGTGTGGAGGCAAAACAACTTTCTCCAGCTAAACTCTGACAAGACTGAAGTCATAGTGTTTGGTCCACAGAAACAAAGGGACAGTGTCAGCATCACCTCCAGTCTCTCGCTCTAAAACCTTCAAATCAGGCAAGAAATCTAGGGGTAATAATGGACTCAGACTTGAACTTTAACAGCCACATCAAATCAATAACATCTGCAGCCTTTTACCATCTAAAAAACATAGCAAAAATCAAAGGTTTACTGTCTAAATCAGACTTGGAGAAACTTATCCATGCGTTTGTCTCCAGTAGGTTAGATACTGTAATGTTCTGCTCACTGGTCTCTCCAAACGAGCTGTGAGACGCTGCAGAACATCCAGAACATCCAGAACATCCAGAACATCCAGAACATCCACAACATCCAGAACATCCAGAACATCCAGAACATCCAGAACGCTGCAGCTCGGGTCCTTACTCGAACTAGGAAGTACGAGCACATAAGTCCTGTGCTCAGGTCTCTGCACTGGCTTCCTGTGCCTCAGAGAATAGACTTTAAAGCAGCTCTGCTTTGTACAAGTCTCTCCATGGCCGAACACCAAAGTCCATCTGTGACATGTTAGTGTCATATGAACCATCTCGCACTCTGAGGACCTCAGGGACCGGCCTCCTGCTGGTGCCCAGAGTCAGACTAAACAAGGGGAGTCAGATGTTTCAGGTTCATGCAGCTAAAACCTGGAACAGTCTGAACATGTGAGACAGACTCTTCTGTGACGCTGTTTAAATCCAGACTCAAAACATTTCTGTTTAACTGTGCAAATAACTGAAAGGTTTTCATTCCGCACTCTTCTCTCCAATTTATGTCTCTCTTTTTTAATTTTAATCTTCATGATTATTTATGTTTTGATTTGTTTTTATTATGATTTTAATGTATTTCTTATTCTGTAAAGCACTTTGAATTTACTTTGTGTATGACTTGTGCTGTACAAATAAACTTGCCTTGCCTTCCACCTTGTGATGTCATGTGGTAATACAGGAAGTGCTCCACTGTGTTTTTAAAGTGCACACACCTTCACTAGAATCACCTGGATGAGTTCAGTCCTGGAATTTCCCATGTCTACTGAACTAAAGGTCAAAGTATTGTAGCTGTTAACTTGAAAACTACCACTTCATGACATCACAAGGTGGACCAGAGTATTTTTGAGTAAAACATGGGTCTCTAACCTGTAGCTCGGGAGGGGGTCAGCTCTATGATCCCACAGCCCCATGTTCCCTCATTTCTAAGATTTTTCTTATTGCAATATTTTTTCTCAGAACAAAACTAAGTCAAGTCATTTTTATTTTTCTACCGCAGTTAAAGGGATGATTCAGATTTCAGCCTCAGATCCTTTGCACCATGACCTCGACATTACACCTGTATTCAACTGCTGCTGGAGAACGGGTCGGGGCTAATTGACGACCAAATTGGGAGAAATGGAGGACAAAATATGATGCAAATTGATCAGATTTTAGGCCTAATTTTGGAATAAAAAAAAGAAAAAACAAAACCTTAGAAATGAAGGAACATAGGGCTGAGGGAACACAGGTACACTCCACACTACCAGTGTCTCTCCACCCCCCTCCAATGAGCTCGCCAAGGGATTTCTGAATTCTGTGTATTGTGGATAATAAGTCAAATTTGATTAATTTATGATCGTAAATGTATCATTTTAAAGCCCAACTTGGTTCATCGATAAAAGGATAATGGTTTATGTTTTATGAGCATTGAACTCAGGGGTGGGTAATTCTTTTTTCCACGGGGCCACATGAGAAACAAAATATATTGTGGAAAGCTGGGCCAAAATGCTTAACTCTATTCTGCATAATATTAAGTGTATTTCTTTATTTTAAAAAAAATGTACATGTTATGACTAAGCAATGAAAAAGTGAGGCTGTCTTAGAAAAAAAAACACCTCTAACATAAGATTGTGTGATTAACTGAATTTTGATCGCAATTTTGATTTGTGTGTTAAACGATCTCCAAACTCATAATCAAGAACGATTTAAAGCTTAACAAAGTTTATTTTAGAATATTTTTTACACAAATAACCATATGCCTTATTTCATGTTATTTCAAGTATATTTTATTCATTTTATGTTTTATACGTCGCAAAACTGCTCTAAGGTTCATATTTGTAGCCTATATTTATTTTCAATTTGAAAGTTTTACATAAATTATCAGTAACAAAGTGTTGTTTTCTGTTTTTTGTTTGAGAAATGCTGAATAAATGTAGCCTGATTCATCAGCCGGTTTCACTTCGTACAAACCGTATGACCTCGCAGCATTTGTTCGTTGGATGGTAGGTGGGTACTTTTTTCATTGAACCAATTGCTGCTATTTGATTGGTTAAATGAATTTGACGTAAAGTTTTGCATAAATGACCAGTTACAAAGTGTTGTTGTTGTTTTGAGAGAAGGAAATGCTGAATAAATGCATCGTGTAAATAAAAAAATAATCGTTTGAATAATTGTGATTTCAATATTGACCAAAATAATTGTGATGACTTTTTTTTCCCCATAATCAAGCAGCCCTACTCTATAATTGTACCTCATGCATGGACTAAAGCTGCATTGCTTTTATTTTAAAGTATGTTTATTTTGTAATTCCAAATGACCTTAAACAGGCAGGTCAGAGTCAACCAAAGAGCCGTTTGAGGCCTGGGAGCTGCATCTAACTGTTCCCCATTTAAGACTCGCCGTGGCTTTGATATTTACTCAGTTTCTTTGCGGCTGAAATTGGTAGCTCTGGTATTTTTGTTTTGTAAAGTTAGCCCACTGGAGATAAAAGGTTGGAGACCCCTGATATAAACAGACTATTTATAAAAGATCAAACATGTGTGAATTAGGATTGGGCGGTAACCAAATTTTGATACCGTTAAACCTTCTCAGGATTTTACAAAAGTAAACGGTTTTACTGTATTACCAAAATGTTTGAATATGACTTTGGTGAGCTGCGAAGTTGCACTGCTATATGGTCTATACGTACGACCTGCAGACATAATCTCTGAAAAGACATAATCTCTCAGAACAGACTCACCATCAGCCACTCATCCTCTGTCACAAAAAAAAAAAACCAAACTCATATTCCACGGGGTCGTGTCCTTTAGTCCAACAGAAGCTGAACCGCATCAGCTCGCAAAGAAAGAGCTGTTTTTATCAACGCTTTATTGTTTATGCAAATGAGCCATGTGGTTTTAAGTTCCGTCTCTGTAAAATATAAACAAATGTGCAACTGAAGCCAAAATGCTGCAAACTGTAGAAGTATTAGTATTTTTTTGGGGGGGACCAACTCACTTGTGGCTAGACAGCAGTACGAAAAGTCATCTCCCCACACCGTTAAAAGAAACATTATAGACACTATTAGTTTTAAATTGTGATAGCATTACATTGAAAACACAACCGCACATTCATTTGTGGCGAACAAACTAATTTAGGCATCAATAAATTATAATCAGTGTTGGGAGTAACGTGTTATAAAAGTAACAAATTACTGTAATGCATTGCTTTTTGCTGTAACGCAGTAATGTTCGGCATTACCGGAAAAAAAAAAAAAATTGTAATATTTTACTCGGTACAAATGTGAGTAACGTGCGTTACAAAGCTTTTTTAACCTGGATTGAAGTGGTGAGTTTCTCTTCATACGAATTCACTAAAATCACCGCGATATCAGCAGCGGTGAAACGCCGGAGACGCGTCCATGAAGACTTGTCAGGTGACCGTGAACTAAAGGACCAGTGCAGAACTCCGCTCCGACCTGGTTCAGTCCTGGTTCAGCTCTGGTTTAGTCCTAGTTTAGTTTGGGTTTAGTCCTTGGTTCAGTCCTCGGTTTAGACCTGGTTCAGTCCTGGTTTAATCCTGGTTCAGTTCTGGCTCAGTTCTGGTTTAGTCCTGGTTCAGTCCATATACGGCGCAAAAAGTTCAGCATCTTCGCAGTTATTTTGGTGAGAGTAACTTAAAAGTAATACAATAGTAATGTAATGCCTTACATTTTAAATACAGTAATATTGTAATGTACCGAATTACTTTAAAATGACAGAAACAAGTCATAAATAACGCATTACAGTTTTGAAGTAACTTGCCCAACAGTGATTATAATATTATATTAGGTGCGCCGCAGATTTTTTAAATGATGTAATGAAACTGATACCGATGCTTAGCGCCCAATCCTAGTGTGAGTGAAACAAAACACAAGTCCAGGTGTGTTTTTGAGGAGCTAACAACATCACAACACGACTAAAAGCTCTCAAGAGTCGATTTTGTGTAATATACTGTAAGACCTTTAAGCATCTCGTCGTTTTTTTTGTTTGTTTTTTTTGCAGTGCCTCCTTCCCCTGGACCATCCGTGCGTTCTCTTTGTACGTCTTTATCGCAATCATAAATTCCTCCGTCCCATAAACGCACCACGACACAGAGGCCATAATGGATGAGAGCCTGTTTTATAATGCACTCAATGATAGACAAGACTGTTCAGACCAGCGCAGCCTGCACCTCCAGCTCTGAGCACGATTTATTACACATGTCATGGAGAACAAGAGGAACTACAGGCCCTATTCTAATCAATGTTATTCTTAAAGGCGCACTGTGTAACTTTTCTGGCGGAGGGGCCGTCGGATCCTTTTTTTCCGTGGAGATGTTATCGCTTTGTCCGGAATGTTTCACAGAATGGTGTTAAACCTTTCTATCTTTACAGAAACCAAACCTGAGCAATTTACAGGTGCTATTTTGGTATTTTTGAGCTATAAAAAACACCTATAATCTGTTTAATGTCACAATGTGGAACATTTCAGGCACAGAAATGACATATCCACGGAAACAAGCAGGTGACGGACCCCCAACCAAAAAAATTACACCGTGCACCTTTAAAGCAAACAGGTTTTATTTATTTAAGCTGCAGTTTTTGTTTTTAATCAGGATCCGAGAGGTGTTGATGCTCGAAGACTCATTTTGCTTTCACTTCTTCCTTCTCTTGAACAACTGAAAGAAGAGAAAAAGAGATTGAAAAGATAGAAAAAGGTCTGCATCCAATTTTTTCCCATGAATTTGAGCTAAATTCCTCTTGCCCCAGTACAGATAAAATGTATAAGCAGCTCTTGAGGTCAAAATAAGTCCAGTCTTGGGCTGTCAAAAGTAGTGAAAATCAGATTCTAATTGATACTAAATGTAGTATCGAAACTAGATACTCATTTGAGCAGGTGTCGATACTAAAAAAGTCACATTCACAGGACAGAAATTAAGCTTTCCTGAAGCTTTGGAATGATCTAGAGCTGTATCAGAACAAGTATGAGAAAGATATAAGACCAGATGGGAATAGAAAAGAAAGTACTATGATAATGTTGAAAAAAAAGAGTGTAAAGAATAGGCTCTGTTCACGCATCACAAACCAAGAAGACGTTTGGAACCTTGCGATGACGACTTCCGGCGGACTCTGTTCACGGTAGTAAGTCTGACAAACTCGAGGAAAAATGAAAAAATGTCCCAGTTTTCTTCATCTCCATGTCATTGTAGCCGTTCCCTTATGTTTGGCGAATCAGCCATTACATCCACACCTCAGTTTTCATCATTTCCCCACTGACACACAACTCCGAGTGCACTGGATACATGCGATTAGAAAAGATGAGGTGTCAAATTCAAGATGATTCCAAACAGCACATACGTATGCAGTCTTCATTTTAACACTGATCACGTTTACGTCAGTGGGTTTGATCACAGTCGGCCGGCGAGCCCAGTGTCGGGAACTGCACCGGAATTCATCTTCGCATGTTTCCAAACGTCTTCCTGGTTTGTGACATAAGCGTGAATCGAGTCTATTATCATTGTGATATCGAAATCTGTACCAAGTATTGAGTAGGGGGGTGCAAAAATATTGAAATATTGATATATCGTATTGTTTAATGTGATGATACAGTATCGATATCATGGGCTGCTGTATCAATATATCGCCAAGAGTATTTTTTGGTTTATTTGACTAAATTATTTTGTTACAGCTACAGTTTTGTTGCTTGTTCAGAGGAAAGAAACTCGTTTATGCGACACATTTGACATTTTCACTGTTTTGATGATTGAAATGTTTCATATGAACTTTGCACAAGAAGCAGTTTAACAAACACTTTAAGCCTTTATTTTTTTATTGAACCGTATCGAATCAATTTGAAATATATCGTATTGAATCAAAAGTGCACTGCATTGAGATATGTATTGTATCGTATCGTGGCCTATGTATCGAGGTATGTATCGTATCGTGGCCTATGTATCGAGGTATGTATCGTATCGGCAACTTCTCAATAATACCCAGCCCTAGTGCTGAGTATATCTTAGTATAGAAATCGAGGTTGAAATTGTAGTACAGTGACAACACTAGTGCTATCTGCCTCTAATTAGAAAGCGTTTTACGGTCTGATAATCAGGAAGTGCACATTAGCATGCTAGTTGTTGTGTGTGGAATCCCTCAGTTGTCCATGGCAAAAGGAGAAATCCCATTGGTCAACTGGACAAACGTTTATTTTGGTCGAAACGTTTTGAACTGAAGAAGCAGCTTGGATGAACTGCGAAACGTATTTGACCAAAATAAAGTTTTGTCCAGTTGACCAATTGGATTTCTCCTTTGCTAGTTGCTAGTTGTTGTTACCGTGATGACAAAACAAAAAAATATATATGTAAAAGCCTTTATAAACTCATCGTGGTGAGTAATTTGCAAAAGCGCTTTGAGTGCCTTGAAGGTGGAAAAGTGCTATAGAAAAATTGGACCATTTACCATTGACCATTTAATTAGTGTGCTCTGAATGCAAAAAGTACCGTATTTTCCAGACTATAGGGCACGCTCTTAAGCCTCCAACCCCATCAAAAAACGAGAGCGCCTAATAGTGCGGAAAATACAGTAAATGAAGGTAACTTGGAGCACTGCAAACTGTTTAACTTAATTGCCTAATTCCTTAATGCCCAGTGTCACAAATACGCGACAAACTGTTTGGATCAAGATCTAAGCCGAGATAGCGACCGCATTCTCTTAATATCGGTTAGAGGATACACAAAACACTTTTCTATATGTACATCTATATACATTCAGACATTAAGGGGTTTTAAAATGAACAAAAACAGTAAAAAAATATGTAAAAAAAATCAGGTCGAGCGTCTTTAAACGGAGGTTCGCTAACACTGTGACATTACCTCACCCTACCCCTGTTCAAAATGTAAATCTTTATTCAAATGGGTGAAGGTCAGGAGAGTCTCGGGGGGCTGCACATTGACTGGGATAAGCTCTAAGTGCAGATGTGTGAATAAGCTGGGACGGAAATGTTCCAGAGGGAGCTTTAGTTAACCCCGGAGCCACACACTGCAGATTAGACTGAACCAGAGGACGTGGTAAAGACTCTGACGGTGTTTGAGGTTAGACTTAAGAAGCAAGCGAGGAGATTTTACTCAGAAATAACACTTTTGACACCGGGGCACAGCCGCTGAAGTGAAGCGTTTACTCCTCATGGTGGGAATCGGTGTAACAATATTTAACTTTGCAAAATGTCTGTGTTTGAAATGAAGGACACGTAATAGGCTCTGTTCACGCTTACCGGAACACGTTTGGAAACATTCGCATGACGATTTACCGACACTGAGCATGTGATAAAAAAAATTTATTCAGCAGCAGCGTCTTCACAACCTGCCAAAGCTTTCCACGGAGGATGTCTCTCTAATTGCGTCTTCACATCAATTTATAAAAAGAAAAATGAAAGAATACAATGAAATCTGGATCAAGAAAACCGGTGTCCTGTCGATTTGAGCTTCCAAGCGTTACTGCGCCTACGTACAACCCCTAAGTGCTCTTGCAGTTTCAATGCCCGTCGATTTGAGCTGCTGAGGCACAAGTGGAGTAACACAAGTAACATTTTAAAAGTGTGTTTGGACCAGTTAAGCGGGTAAACAATGACATGTGTGTGTTAGATTTGCAGCAGAATCCCTAAGTTAGATGATTGAATAGTTTGGATTTAATAATTTGATTTTCATTACATCATATTTTATTTTGTTTCCATGTGTAGAAAATGTTGAAACTTTATTAAGAATCACAATATTATAACAGGAAATTCATAGCCTATGATGTTTAATATAAAGATTTCAGTGTTTCCAGTCATTTCTTTCTCTTATAAGCGCTTTGTGTTGCATTTTTGTATGAAATGCACTCTTTAAATAAAGTTTGATTTGATTTATATAGTGGGAGCCTTATTTGATTGAAGTTATAAGCCTGTCGAAATGAGCTCCTCTACCCAAATTCATATAAATGAGTGAATAATGGTGATTCTACAGTGGGAGCATTATTACACTAAATTGGCCTGTCGATATGTGCTACCTTTAGTCAAAGCCCTATTTGAAATGTAAACAGAAAAAGAGGATATTTTATTTCTAGGATTTAAGGGTTTTGTATCATGTGGCTGAGAAAATGGCATTGCTCTAAAGTGAGACATGCTATTTGAGCAGAATACAACCTGTCGAAATGAACTACCTACGCATATAACATAACTGTGCAAACAGCATCAAACCTGCTGTTTCTAATCCAAAGAAATGTGTTTTGAAACTGGGGAGGTTTGGCTTTATTGGATGTATACAACTGTAGAAATAGAAAAAAAGCTTATAGTAGTTTATTTCGACAGGATAACGTGAATCGATAGACATCACTGTTGATTTAGGCTGAGGGTAGGTCATCTTGACAGTGCAGCCCATTTCGACAGAACACCGGGCCATTTTCTCAGTTTTCCCAGATTTTGTCAGAGTTACTGTCGCCAGCGGAGCCCAAAGGAAGTCGTCATCCACATGTTTCCAAATGTCTGCTGGTTTTGTGATGTAAGTGTGAACAGAGCCCATAGCACCTGCAGCCTCACTGTTCACATCACCACTTCCTGTCCAGTTTAAATATTTAAAGATAAGACCGTAAAAAGGGAGCTGCAGGTGGATGTCACTGACAACATGTGACAATGAATAGATCAGCGGGGGACAATTCTGTGTTGTTTAGAAAGAGATGTTTTTGTCTCAACGCTCATGCTAATGTTGAGGCATAATAAATATTACAACAACTCCACAAACTAAATGACATATAAAAATAATTGGGTAGTCTTTATTTTAATGGATTTTAATAGGCTGTTTATATTATGTTACACGATTTTAATAAAAGTAGGGTGACCAGATGTCCTTATTTACCCTGGACAGTCCCAGTTTTGAGTCCTAAAACCACTGATTTGTCCCAGTTTTATTCAAGAAATGTCCCTGGTGTCCCTATTTATGACCAATTACATCCCCGCCAACAGTAAAGAGAGGCATACATTGTTACTTGTTTAGGTAAAATACAGAAAAGCCGCTTAAAAATGACCAAAACACAAAGAAAATGTGACTATACTGACTCACATGTTGGTCATGTGCCGAGAGCAGAACAATTTTCCTTAATTACGCACTCATTCACAATTTTATTATTACCAACTGCCCCAAATCGGAGGTTCCAGTTTTTGATTTGGAAAATCTGGTCACCCTAACTCAGCAGTGCTTGTGGTGGTACTTCTGGTTAAGTAGAAATCCCATTTGTTTAAATGGAGAATTTGAAAAGTTCCCCGACTAAAAGGTGATATAAAGGAGGTAGATTTGTGTAAAATATCCAATCTTCATGAGTCACACTGCGCCGATTCTCTGGAGGCTTTAAAACGGCTTTGTAGTCCGCATAGAACTTATTTACTGTGAGGATCAGCAGCCCCATACAAAATAATACAACCTCGTGTGACAAAGGCGGCGCCCACAGCGACTTCCGGAAGAAGGTGTGCATTATGAGTTGGTAACAGTATTTAAAACTTCTTCCATTTTCAGGTATTTTGCTCCAAGTGTTTCTAAAGTCATGTCACAAGTTGTTTAAAGTGTTTAAACTGTACTGTGGCTGTTCGTGCTCTGTAAATGTCTCAAATATCAGTTATTTCCATAGAACTATAATAAAACCTGGAAGATGAATCCAAGAAGGCACCGTGTTGTTTTCAATAGCAAATACTCAATGGTGCATGGGCCCAAAAATTATTTTCACTTCCACATTTACTTCCTCAATAGGGGCGAGCTCCTCCCATCCCTACAAGGTCTGACTTTTGTGAAAGTTGTGGATGTCCTGTCAGCTGAACACGGGCAGTTTGAATTCCCAAAAAATGCATTGTGTTCAATAGGAGAATTCTTTCTGGGCCTAAGCTCCGGGAGCTGCAGTACCTGGAGAGACCACTAGTTGGTCTCGAGCTGGAACAGAGGGGGAGGGGCTTATCCAGATTTTATTATAGATCCATGTAGGGATGGGCATGATTAATCGATTAATCGATAATTGATCATTAAGAATTTCATCGATTACGTTAATTTTAATCGACAAACTGAATGTAGGTTGTTGTGTGTAGTGTGACCAAACAGGTGTGTACATGTGTCTCTGCATCAGAAGGAACAAGACACAAACACAAACATTCGGTCAGTCTGTAACGTACCGAAGCACAAATGTGTATTTAACGATGATTTGTACAAGAAATTCCACACTTTCTGTTGCGTTCGGGACAAGTGTGAGTCCATGTGCACAGTGTATAAAGCAGCACATATGTTTCTGTGTCCAGTGGGAAAAAGTTTTACCAGGTGAGAGTCGTCGCTCAATGTCGATGACGAGTCCCCACCTCCCTCCCCCCGTACGGTGTCCTGGTTTTGACAAACACAAATCTGGTCACACTAACCTGTATTCACCTGAGTCATGTCTTTTAATCAGACAGAAACTGACCACATCAGCGACACAAGAGCTGTAGTTTTATCTTCGCTTAGTTTATGCAAATTAGTGATGTGGTTTTAAGTTTTGTTTCTGTGAGAGTTGCACAAAACTGAATTAAACACATTATAATGTCAGACGGATTGATGTGGCTCTAGAGTCGTTACGGTTTATATGTCGTAAAGTTGAATTTATTTATGCAGATTAGTAGTGCAGATAGTAATAATAATGATGATCATTTTAATATAAAAACGTTAATGATTAATCGATAATCAATCGTTAATTCTTCCGACGATCGATTAAGAAAATTTCATCGAATCCCCATCCCTAGATCCGTGGTTATTTAACTGTTTTAAATGAAGCTAGTTCCTGCAGTGGAGCATTAGTTTACCTGTTGCTATGGTGACGTCATGGCGGTGGCGTCAGAGCAGTGATATAAAACAGTGATTTGGCTTTTGCCGGACTACTTGTGTGTTATGCAGGATTATTAGAGTCATGCAGTCAGCCACTGGGATTCTCACTTGCTGTGGTCTAATGGGATTTAAACACTGATATCTATACACAGTTTAGTATGAATAAAAAGTTGATTTAGTGTTTACTTCCACTTTAATATTCCCACTAACCACTTCCCAATGCAGGTTTTTCAGTTTACCCATAATTCTCACCTTTGACCTCCAACTTGCACTCGACCTCGTCCTGGCCCAGTTCGTTGATGGCGCGGCAGGCGTACCTCCCCCCGTCGAACAGACTCGGTTTACGGATCCTCAGAGTCAGGACCCCCTGGTTATTCTGCATCAGGAACTTTGGGTCCTCCCCGATAATCATGTTGTTTTTCATCCACACGATCTTTGGCTGGCGGAGAAAAGGAGAGAAAAAGAAGAGAAAAGAGCAAAGAGGAAGTTTTATTTCTAGCAATTAAGGGTTCTGTACCATGTGGCTGAGAAAATGGCGTTTTGCCCCAGTGTGAAACATGCTTATAAACTCACCATGGTCAAAACTTAGGATGCTGCAAACACTTTCATTAAAGTTTTTATTATTTATGATTAAAAAGTATTTAAAAAACACCTATAAATAATTCAGTAGTAGTATAAGGTTCTATATTACACAGTTGACCCTTGTGAGCTTTAAGTCATGTTATAATATTGTTCCCTCCTCAAAAACAGACCTGGAGTTGTATTTAGTTTCATTCACACATGTTTGAGTAACCCTGCATTATCAGTCTCAAAATGCTCTGTTCCACCTTGTGATGTCATGAAGCGATTACAACTTAACAGCTTTTTACTTCAGTTTTACTATAGTTCAGTAAACTGTCCTATAAAGGCAGAACATCATGTTTGGTCAAAAATTAGTTCATGTCATTTTGTTTGTATTTGAGACCTTCTTTATCGTGTGAATAAATATAATGAAAAATATTGAGCTCAAAATGGACCTTTGACTCTTATTTGTCAGTTCCTGTATCTGCCTTTGTATCATGAACCAAAAATAAGGAGAGGTGCAAAGACAAAAGGCAGTAACAGTGTATGTTTTGTTTGTGATTTAGTTCATAAATATATTTTATTTTCAAATCCAACCTCTCGCCTCCTTTTTGTTGCGGCTTTGGCACAGAGTCTTAACACTTTAAATAAATATAGCTTTGTATTCAATTATACTTAAATGATCTTGAATGTGAAAGTATTTGGTGTATTTATTCAGACTGTACATATTATACTGCACAGTAACTTGTCTGTCAGACTGTTTCACTGTAATTGTTGCCACACGATTCTGATCAGCACTAAACAGGAAATCCAAAGCTCTTCTGTATAATTTCAAACAAACACCATGATGACCAGACCTCAGTGAGGTGTTCTTATAATGGATGAAGTCTAGGGAAAATCAAGCAAATAATGATCATAACTGTTACAGTTACTGTGTTTTGTCTTTGCACGACTCCTTATTTTTGGCTCATGATAAAAAGGCAGAGTACAGTCACTGCCAAATAAGGGTCAAAGGTCCAGTTTGAGCTCAATATTTTTTGCATATATTCGCAAATATGTCTTCATTATAGTACCTAGTTGTCAAATTTTGGGAGCCCAACCTATTATACTTTTACTTCTGGACAAAAAGTAACAGAAACTCTGAAGTATTTTTCTTAGTTTCTTTGTTTCACAGTTAAGCTCTTTTACCTTTGTAGGGCAGCGTAGACAGGCAAATCCAGGGCTGAATTTATCAAAATGGTTCTAATGATGGTGTATGGAGTTTAAAAACACAGTAGAGCACTTACAGTATTATCACATGACATCACAAGGTGGAACAGAGTGTTTTCAGTTTGAGAGAAAACCCTAAATATGCAGAATATGTGTGTTGAACAATGAAAAAAACACAACTCAAGGTCTGTTTGTGATGAGGAAACTACATTATACACAGAGTAACACTTCCTGGAAAAGAAGAGCATCACATACTGACATCAGCAAGTAGAAGAGGGTGTGACAAACTGAAAATAATGGATATAATGGAATGGAGTCGTCACATCTCATCGACATTCTCAGGTAAAAAAATGGAGATTTAATACTCAACAACGGTGGATTTTCCTAACATTATTTTTGAGGTTCAGACCCAAACTCTACTGAAACTCCTTTGAAGTTTTCCATAGACTTAATCCTCCTGAGATCCAGCTGCAGTGGTGTCTGGAGGAAACAGAATCCAGGTCAGAGCGTGGACCTGACAAATGCTTCAGATTTGTGGAATAAAAGTGGAAATCAGAACTGTTCCTGCTGCAAAGAGAGAACAAAAGAGAGACCCACCCTCTGATCATGAAGCCTCTGTCTCCTCTGGGTGACACTCAAAGAAGAACAAGAACTATAGAGGTATATTTACTCACTTATGTTTACTCGAGTGACTTGATAGAATAGAGTACTTTTCTTCGCTTTTCTTTCCACAGAAGTGTATAGATTGACTGGTTCTTACCCGGGGATGTCCGCGTACGGCGCAGCTGATGGCCGTGGTGTAGCCTGCCACAACAGTCCTGTCCACTAGGGGCGCTGTGAACTTGGGCGAGTGGCTCATGTCCTTCTCTCTGAACGGACGAGGGTTGAACTCCAAATCTGAAACGACGCGGGGTCATTTCGTTAGTATCATTCACAAGTTGTTTCATTTATGAGGGTGTGTGACGTGGGTTGATTCAATTACAGGTGGTTTTATAGCGCAAAAATACCTGTGTAAAATGAGTGTTCTGACTGTGAGCTTTAGAATCGCCTCTCCACAGAACAGAGGCCAACTCCAAATTTAGAAAACCCACTGCACGCACTAAACCAGGCAATCTGTGCTTTATAGACAGTGTTGGGAAGTGACTTTTAAAATGTATTCCCCTACAGATTACAGATTACATATCCCAAAATGTAGTTTGTAACATAATCCATTAAATTACTTAAAGTGAGTAATGTAATCTGAATACTTTGGATTACTTGATTTGCTGTAGAGAAGCAAATCAAGACGAGGATATCGTAACATAAGATGTTTTGTCTGATAAAAGAAAATAAAAAGCCCAGACTTTACTTAACCATATTAAAAATATTATTGATAGAAGGTGACACATCCACGCAGCAGGATTTAGTCCTGTTAAATCCTGTTTTAGACCTGGTTTAAACCTGGTTTTAGTCCTGGTTTAGACCTGGTTTAGACTTGGTTTTAGTTTCTGGTTTAGACCTGGTTTTAGACCTGGTTTTTAGTCCTGGTTTAGTCCTGGTTTGGACCTGGTTTTAGACCTGGTTTGGACCTGGTTTTTGAATTGGTTTAGACCTGGTTTTAGACCTGGTTTTTGAATTGGTTTAGACCTGGTTTAGACCTGGTTTTAGACCTGGTTTAGACCTGGGTTTAGACCTGGTTTTAGACCTGGTTTAGACCTGGTTTAGACCTGGTTTAGACCTGGTTTTAGACCTGGTTTAGACCTGGTTTAGACCTGGTTTAGACCTGGTTTTAGACCTGGTTTAGTGTCCGGCGATGAGTGGAATTACCGGGAAAAAAAAGGGATTATAGCCCAAAATGTGAAAACAGGAAAATCCCGCCGTGTAATCCATTTACTTCAACAAAGTAACTGTAATCCAATTACCACTCACTGAAACAGTAACTGTAACTGAATACAGTTACTCATAATTTGTACTCTGATTACGTAACTCCAGTACATGTAATCTGTTACTCCCCAACACTGTTTATAGATCCCACCTGCAGCTAGAATCTGCACACATGAACCCACGTCACATCACTTCCTGTCACACACCTTCACCTCATCATAAAAGAAGCATGTAAAGTAACTCGTGAGTGAGATTTCCCTGAACATGAGCCGATAATCAGTGGGTTTGAGTGATACAAGCGGGACAGAGGGAGGGGGACGCTGTTGCTGTTTCAAGAATGTTATCGTTATATTAAGTATGCAGATGATGTGTGTGGGGAGTGACCCTGTTTATGCACACCAAGTAAAAACAAAAGTAAAAGTATTGAAGTTGCGTTTAGTCCCAGTGCTGCATTAAACCAAAGCCAAGTCAGACTTGAGTCACTATTTTTAGGACTTGAGACTTGACTTGATAAAATGGACTAAGATTTGAGACTCGACTTGGACTTGAAGGTCTGTGACTTAGGACTTGACTCGGACTTTATGCCTGTAACTTGAGAAGACTTGATGCTTCTCCTAAAAATATATGTTTTTAGAAAATACTTTTCTCTTTACACTTGATAAATGCGGTGCTTAATTTTACAGGAACAAACTGGAACATGTCAATCCCACTTCTGTTTGTTACTTTGGATGGAACTGAAGTACTGTGATGTGGTATCCTCAAATGTACTACAGTAATATACGGTACAATACAGTAAAACTACATAGAATATGATCCTTCCATTTCAGACACATGACAAAATATTTGTAATTTAGCACTGAAAATGTGAATTCTTTCTGTTCTGACCGTAATGATTCACACTAAGATCTTGACAAGACATTTAAAAAGGAAAAAGTCACATTTCTACAACTCTTCTATAAATACTCCTATATAAAAATACCATAACTTTTTAAGTACAGTTTAGTTTGAAAGTCATATAAATTGCAAAAACATAAGCTATATTTGGTAATTTGGTTTAAAGACTTGACATGACTTGGCTGTTGCTAGACTACTCAAAGCTCAAAGCAGACGACTTGGACTTGACTTGGACTTACAGACCAGTGACTCGAGATCCGACTCGAGATTTGACTTGGACTTGGCTTGTACTTATGGGCCAGTGACTCGAGACTCAACTTGGACTCTCCTGTCTTTGAGTTGGAATTTGACTTGGACTTGCGACTTACTTGAGACTTGCAAAACAACGACTTAATCTCACCTTTACAGAGCAGTGCCTACAGTTAGCATCGCACTCCCGGGGAACATTGATGACATGAGCTGCAAAGTATCAACAGGGAAAAGCTCCGTGCGTTCATATGTTCGGCTAATTTAAATGGATGGTCTCATGGTGTTCTCGAGAAAATTCACAGTTAAATCTGACTATTCGCAGCTCTAAGTACCTCGCTAATTGTGCAAATAAATGTCGTATTTTTGCTTCTTTCTCAGCTCCTAAAATAGGTTCTTTCTCTCGCAGATCACCATTTCATCACAAGGGCAGCTTCGTTTTTAGAAATCTCTGTTTTTAAAGCCAGACTGGACTAAAATGCTTCTTGGTCTTCTGCCAGTTTTCGTTACTTGGAGCCCAGACAAAATCAACAAAACCACTGCTGTATTTGGCTGGAAGCAGGTGGTGATTTCTTCTGTTTTTAAACTCTGGTCCAAGTGGAATAATTATACAGTATTTTCCATTATAACAACTATTGTGTTTTGTGTAAAAGTTGAGAATCACACTTTAATTACAGAAAAATAAGTTCAAATGTCCGTAAACAGCTCCATACTTTCCAAGGACTGAGAGGGTTCAGCTCAGTTTGTTGTATATTGTGTTGTGTTATTTCATTTTATTGATACGTGCAGTGACATCATGCTGGGGGTGTCCTGCATGTATGTCTATGGAATGTTCAATCTATCTATCTATTATGGTGACACAATGCACACATTACTAAGAAAAAATACAAAATGGATTAAAACAGGACATTTTCAGGAGTCTGTGATTCATACGAGTGTTCATGGTTCTGTTTAGGAGTTTGATTTTCAACAAAAAGCTGAGATTGACTGACTGAAAAACTAATACGAACTTGTTTTGATATGTGTTGGTATGTTTTGGTATGTTTTGGTGTGCTTTCTGAGTATTATTTGGTATGTTTTGGTACGTTTCGGCATGTTCTGGTACGTTCTGGTAGGGCTGTCGCAATAACCATAAAAATGAATGACTGCGGTACTAAGAGGCCCACCACGGTGCATGTTGAGCCACTGAAATCACCACACGTGTCCAAAGTGACACGACCAGAGTCCTGCACGGGTCCATTTTTAGAGACCCGCACCTGCCCGGACCTATTCACTTTCCACCCTTTCCCGTCTGTGCCTGTGATGACCCAGGACTAACCCAGGACTAACCCAGGACTAACCCAGGACTAACCAGGACTAACCCAGGACTAACCTAGGACTAACCCAGGACTAACCTAGGCAGGACTAACCCAGGACTAACCCAGGACTAACTAACCAGGCAGGACTAACCCAGGACTAACCCAGGACTAACCTAGGACTAACCCAGGACTAACCTAGGACTAACCTAGGACTAACCCAGGACTAACCTAGGACTAACCCAGGACTAACCTAGGACTAACCCAGGACTAACCCAGGACTAACCCAGGACTAACCCAGGACTAACCCAGGACTAACCCAGGACTAACCCAGGACTAAGGTGTGCCCACGGAGACCGTTTGGTGTCTGCAGGTGAAAGTACCACTGCAGCTCCACGCCGCATGGAGGTAAACGCAGCCGTCAGCTTTGCAGACACGTGCTCTGTGTGCTCATACTAGGGGCTCTCTCTCTTAAGTCCACGAGTACCCGACCTGGTGCAGGACTCTGACCCGACCTGGTGCAGGACTCTGACCCGACCTGGTGCAGGACTCTGACCCGACCTGGTGCAGGACTCTGACCCGACCTGGTGCAGGACTCTGACCTGAGCTGCCACAGTGAGAGCTGGAGAGATGCAGAGGCACTTGTTCCAAAGCCAAATGTTACTTCTCCCACAGTTCACACACTATATCCACACATCAAAGTACATGTGCATCTGTGCAACAAGTGCATCATCAGAGAGAGTTTTCAGAGCCACTGGAAATATTATAACTCCAAGGGATGGGGGGTGGAGATGGGGGAGGAGGTGCGATATCACTGCATACCACAGTGTTGAGCGGCTATACTGTACTGCAGGAGAAATTCCCTAACCGCGACAGCTCTGTGTTCTGGTATGCTCTCCTATATTTTAAGTAGGTTCTGGTAGGTTCTGGTAGGTTTTTATGTTGTGTTTTGGTATGTTGGTATGCTTTGTGAGTATTATTTGCTATGTTTTGGTATGTTTCAGCATCATTAGCCATGTTCTGGTATGTTCTAGTATGTTTTGGTATATTTTTTGGTGTGTTTTGCGTTGTGTTTGTTGTGTTTTGTGTTGTGTTGTGGTATGTTTTGTGTTGTGTTTTTTTGTGTTGTGGTGTGTTTTGCGTTGTGTTTTGTTGTGTTTTGTGTTGTGTTGTGTTTTGTGTTGTGTTTTGTGTTGTGTTTTTGTTTTTTGTGTTTTGGTGTGTTTTGTGTTTTGTTTTGGTGTTTGTGTTGTTTTTTGGTATGTTTTGTGTTGTGTTTTGGTGTGTTTTTGTTGTGGTGTGTTCTGTGTTGTGTTTTGGTGTGTTTTGTGTTGTGTTTTGGTATGTTTTGTGATGTGTTCTGTGTTGTGTTTTGGTTGTGTTTTGTGTTGTGTTTTGTTGTGTTCTGTGTGTGTGTGTGTGTTTTTGTGTGTGTGTTTGTGTGTGTGTTGTGTTGTTGTGTTTTGTGTTTTGTGTTTTGTGTTGTGTTTTGTGTTGTGTTTTTGTGTGTTTTGTGTTTTGGTGTGTTTTGTGTTGCGTTTGGACCTGATTTGGTGATGACGGCCGTGTTCTTGCTGACCCCCGGTTCCTCGCTCAGTCCGCAGATGTTCTCACTGTAGATTCTGAAGGAATACTCGTTTCCCATCACCAGGTCTGACACTGTACAGCTGGGTCTGCGGTTGTGCTCATACACAGTGAACCACTCCTGAAAAACAGACCAGGGACACAAGAGAGGGAGAGGAGGAGGACGAGGAGAGAGGGAGAGGAGAGAGGGAGAAGAGACAGAGAGGAGGAGAGAATGGGAGAAATGTGAGATGGAGGAGAGAGAAAAGGAGAGAGAGAGAAGAGATGGGGAGAGAGAGGAGGAAGAGAGTGAGAAAGGAGGAATGAGGGGTAAGGAGCGAGAGGCCGAAGGAGGAAAAAGGGAGAGAGCAAGAAGGTGGAGAGACAGGAGGAGTAGGAGAGAGGGAGAGATGCGAGACAGAGAAAGAAAGAGAGAGAGAAGAGAAGGGGGAGAGCGAAGGTGGAGAGAGTGGAGGAGGAGAAGGAAAGAGAGAAAGAGAAGGGAGACAGAGAAAGAGAGAGATGAGGAGAGAGAGAAATAGAGAGGGGAGGAGAGAGATGGGAGACAGAGGATGGGAGAGGGAGCAGAGGAAAGAGCGAGAGAGGAAAGAAAGTGGAGGAGGAGTAGGAGAGAGAGAAAGAGATGAGATGGAGAGATGGGGAGAGAGAGGAAGAGCAGTGAAAAAGAGAGGAGGGGGAGAGAAATGGGAGACAGAGGAGGATGAGAGAGGGAGTAGAGGAAGGAGCGAGAGAGGAGAGACAGTGGAGGAGGAATGGGTGGTTGGGGGAAAGGGTGAAGGAGAAAAAAAGGGATAGAGAGAGTGAGGTGTTAGAGAGGAGGTAGAGAGACAGGAGGAGGAGGAGAGAGGGAGAGATGGGGAGAGAGAGAGAAAGAGGAAGAGAGGATGAGGAGGAGAGAAATGGGAGACAGAGGAAGAGGAGAGGGAGTAGTGAAAGGAGAGAGGGAGGAAAAGGGGGAGAGCGAAGGTGAAGAGAGTGGAGTAAGAGAAAAAATTGGAGACAGAGAGAGAGGAAGAGGAGAGAGAGAAAAGAGAGAGGAGGAGAGAGATGGAAACAGGAGGATGAGAGAGGGAGTAGAGGAAGGAACGAGAGAGGAGAGAGAGGAAGAGGGAGAGAGAAAAACATGAGATGGGAAGAGAGAGGAAGAGGAGTGAAAAAAGAGGGAGGAAGAGGAGAGGAGAGAGATGGGAGACAGAGGAGGATGAGAGAAGAAGTAGTGGAAGGTGAGAGAGAAGGTGAAGAGAGTGGAGGAGGAGTAGGAGAGTGAGAAAGAGAAGGGAGAGAACGAGAGATGAGGAGAGCGAGAGAGAAAGGATGAGGAGAGAGAGAAATAGAGAGACGGGGAGAGAGATGGAGGAGGATGAGAGAGGGAGTAGAGGAAGGAGCGAGAGAGGAGAGTGGAGGAGGAGTAGGAGAGAGAGAAAGAGATGGGACACAGAGAGAGAGGAAGAGGAGAGAGAGAAGAAGAGAAGAGAGAGAGGGGTATGAGTAGGTGATAGGTGACAGGGAAGAGAGAGAATGGGAGAGAAGAAAGAAAGGAGAGAGAGAAAGAGAAGTGAGTTAACTGGTAAAAGTGCAGCTAATTTAATGAGTAAATGAGTGAATAAAAAACTGGATGTATCCTGCACTTTTACAGTTTATAAAAGAGTCAAATCCCAACTGAACCTGGGCCTAAACCTGCAGACAGAGGAGACACTTACTCTCCGTATGTGGACAGGCCATTTCACGCCGGCCAATTCACACCGACGATTTCATCTGAGAGCCTTTTTAAATCACCGTCTGACAGGAACACTTGTATAAACTGTATATTAAACCTAATGAAATCTGGGCCATATACTGTATCCCGCCCATGTTACAGAGCCTGAAGCGGAGCACATAATGAAACAGGACTTTTGTGAGTTTAAGCTGATTAGTGCTTTGGGAGCTCACAGTCTGCGCGCTACAGGAGTCAGGTCGAACCCGGTCACTCGCAAAGCTTTTGTTTCATCATTTCATCCCATTTTGTCGCTATTTGTATGAACATTTACAGTTTGGAAAAACACGCTAGTAGTTTTCAGTCAAATAAATCCACTTTGTAAATGTCTGTGTAATCCCTCAGTTGTTCAGGTATGAGCCATGGCAAAAGAAAAAATAGAGGCCCGGACAATTATGTTAAAAGTGACTCAGGGACATTTCACATAAACAATAGTTCAATAGTGTCGTACTTCCAGCTGTTAAAAGAGCGATCATTTCCACATTTCAGACAAAAAACTAAAAATCCAGTCCAGAGTCCTGCACGGGTCCATTTTTGGAGACCCGCACCTGCGCAGTACAACACCCCCCCTTTAACCTCTGATTAAACCCGCACCCACCTGTACCCCTTAAAGGTTGTATGGAGGATTTATTTTGTTTCAAGTTGTCAATGATAGCATTATAAAGGTGCAGTAGCCTTGTAATTATGATGACCAAAAAAAAGAGAATAAAAATTCATCAACTCTGGACGTGGTGGGGCTAAACATTTGCCAATAGATAACGACACTGCCTCGTTATCTGTTAGCTGACAGGCTGTCAATCAAACTCCCTACGTTTCTAGCGTAACTGACTTGCCTGCGCGCCGCCGGTACGTGGTTTACGTACGACTGTCACACAGTCCACAGACGCAAGACGCACAGACGCTGTTTACTCCACCAACGCAACAGTTCTTAGCGGCTTTTTTTGACCTATATCTTCCTCGCAGTTCGCACAAAGTTTGTTGCAATGGCGACAAGAATCCAGGAGCAGTTCGCCGCAAAAGAAAGTCCGTTTTTGAGGTCGCTGAAAGAAGAAGACAAGGGGAAAAGCAGCGAAGCCAAACTAAGGTGATTCTTATAGATTCATTCCAGCGATGGCGCGACTGAAGCAGACGCAGGGTCTAAAGACTGAACCACTGGTCCACAAATTACTCCTGGACAGGTCACTTGTGCTTATTATGAAAACGTACTTTATTTCCAAGAGCTGGTCAAACGTTTTTCAGGACACGAATGCGATATCCTATGTCTGAAAACGTAATTTTCAAGGCAAAGAAAGAGTCCGCTTGCTGCTGCGTGTTGTAGCTAGTTCATTCGCACTGAATCTTCGCGCACTCTTCTCTGCACAACCTTTAACATTCTACCCGCCCGTGCCTGAAATAAATCACACACAAATTAAAAGCGTTCTAACTGAAGCACTTTTTTTTTTTTCGATGTGTCTCTCAACGAAAATGTGACGCTAATTGAGGATTGAATAGGTGGTTTAAATAGGCAAAAGTATGGAGTAAGAAAGCTTTCAGAAATATTTGTGTGCATAGGATAGAAATCCGTGTCACATTTGGCTGTAGCTGAGTATAAAAAATATTCGTAAACTCTCGAATGAGTCCAGTCGTACATAAAATGTATTGTGTGTATTTTATCCATCAGAATATGAATTGAAAAGTTAAGAAGTAAAGAATTACAATCACCAAATGAAATGAAACTGTTATGCACACGAATAAGAATACGAATTGACAGATGTGACTTTACTGTCAAAAATACGTCATCACTTCACAGGCATTATTTATTGAGCAGAAGAAACACTGATCGAGAAGCCGGACTTTTGTGTCCCACATGCCACGGACTGAACCTGGAGTAACCCAGGACTGAACTAGGACTGACTGTGCGGAGGGTCTCGGAGGTGCACCCGCGTAGACCGTCGCGTGACCGCAGGCGAAAGGACCGGTGCAGACTTCTGCGCTCCACGGAGTTAAGAGTAACCGTTGCCCAATCGCAGTTTGCAGTTTTTATTTTTAAGGAGAAGCATCAAGTCTTCTCAAGTCACAAGCCTAAGTCAAGTCCAAGTCGAATCCCAAGTCTTAGTCCATTTTATGAAGTCAAGTTTCAAGTTCTAAAAATTGTGACTCAAGTCTGACACGAGTCCAAGTCACAGTTTGCAAGTCTCCACCTCTAGGGACTAGGGTGGACATTCAGACATAGCAACAGTTGTGTTAGTTTCAGTGTAGTTAGCTCCTCCCTTCAGGCAGATACACATGAGGCAGTGTCCACCAGCAACGACCAGAATTATACCACAACTAAACCAGAACTAATCCAGGACTGAGCCAGGACTGAACTGGGTCTGAACCGGGTCTGAACCAGGACTAAACCAGGACTGAGCCAGGTCTAAACGAGAATTAGAGAATAAATGCTTGTGTACCTTAGTCTTCATATCTGCTTTCTGCACTGTGTATCCGAGGATCTCACAGTTTCCGTCGTCTTTGGGAGGTTTCCACTCGAGAGCCGCGTTAAAGCCCCAGACGTCAGTGACATGTATGGCCACCGGGGGGCCTGGTAGATCTGTTAGGAGCAGAGACACAGGGGCACATGAGTGACAGACCAATGCAAAACAAGAAGGAGGCCAGGCTTGTATTCCCAATCTCCAAACACTATACTTACACACTGAAAAAAATGAATGTCTGCAAGTATTTTAAAGCAGAACTGTGTATCCGTGGAGATGGTTTTGCTTTGCCAAGAATCTTTCAAATTATGGCATTAAATGTATCTATCTAGCATTTATTCAAATCCAGGTGTTATTATTGCCGAAAAATACCTTGCAAAACATACATTGAGGCTTAGTTAAGGCTTGCATCTCCACATTTCTGACCTGTAACTATTTCCAAAATAAATAATAATACAAATGTGCAGTATTTTTGAAATGCCTTTGTATATGTATTATACAGATAGTTTAAAACAGGGGTCTCAAACTCAAATTACCTGGGGGCCACATTAGATAAAGTCTGAGTGAGGGTGGGCCGCATTGAGTATTCGATAAATAGCGGTTGCACGAAAAAAAAAAAAAAAAGCTGTATGTGCACGTGTACTCGTATTAACAGATCCACTTAGACTCGTTGCTTCACAGATGCTGTAAATTGAGTTTTGTGTTGTAAACTGCGCTAATAATCTGTTGTGAATCTGCAGGGGCACCGATTGCAGCTTCATCTGTCAGTGCGGCCCGCGGTCGGGGGGTGGGATTGTGCGTACATCTACCGCGGGCCGCACTGACATTATTCTTTGGAATCAAGTGGAGGGCCGCAAAAAATCCTTCCGAGGGCCACAGTTGGCCCCCGGGCCACGAGTCTGAGACCCCTGGTTTAAAAAGTATGATACAAAATCTTTTTTTAGCTTTTGACCATGTTATAATGTTGTTCTCTCACCAAAAAAATGAAGACGTTATAGATGTCATACATGCATGTTTGAGTAATTTAGTGATCTCTCCTGGGCTCTATGCTCAAAACTCCGCCCACAAGCCTACGTCACCTATGCTCCCACACGACTATTCTCCATAAATATACAAAAATATGATGCCAAACTGTACACAACAACTTCACAAACCTGATGCAATGTACAGCAGTTTTATAAGCGCAAAATCTGCTCACTCTGAAGGGGGAGTGACTTAGCATAAAGAACAAAGAGGAGATCAAAAACGAAAATGAAACTAATAAAACATGTAAATATGTTGTTTTGGGTGAATATAGCAATTTTAAGCCAATAAAAGGTAACATCGTGATCTAAATATGTTATGTGTTAAAATAATACTCCCTCTTTAATTGCGAATCACCAGTCAACATTATTTGGTAAACTTGTTTAACTTTTGGATTTCACCAACAGAGAAATCCTGGCCCCTGTCCTCCATCTGAAATTCAAACCTAATCAAATCCTATAACATGAGCCACTTAACACTCGGAGCTTATGGACCGTAATATGATCTGAACCCCGGTAATACGCTATAGGTGATTATGGGAAATGACATTCTAATCCTGACCTAACCTAAATACAGCCCTGACACATCATATAGGAAATGCTCATTACCGCGACCGACGAAAAGTGACAGAGTGTCCCTTTAAATCCAGGTCAAATCCCCATGTACGAGCTGTAATCCAGAGGAGCCATGCGGGTATCTCCTACTGCTCTACGCTCGGCAAAAAATGAAAATCTAACAGAGGTCAAATGAGTTGTGTAAATGAAGCTTGTTGTGGCTAATTTTGTCTATTTTTAAACCATAGACTGTACAAAGATTTGGTTTTATCTTTTAGGGATTTGGAGCAGGTGATCCACGCTTACAGTTAGTCCAAAATTTGGCAGCACGTCTTTTAACCGGCACACGTTGTAGAGAAAATATCACACCTATTTTATCCTCGTTGCACCAGCTCCCTGTTCATTTTAGAGTTGATTTTAAAATGTTATTGTTTGTTTTTAAAGTGCTTCATGGAACTGGCCCCAACGTACATCCCAGACCTCATTAATCCGTGTATTATTCATTCATTCGTTTTTCAATATAAAACCAGAAATAAGAAAATGAAAAAACAACAGTTTTCTTTCTTATTTATTATTATATCTTTGTTTTTTCAGTTTTTGAGTTTGTGTTTAAATGAATAATGGAAAAAACGGATAACGGCCGTTTCCCATTTCCATGATTTAAACTGTGATGTCGGACTTCTGCACCGCATACGGACTGAACCAGGACTAAACAAGGTTTGGGACCAGACCAGGACTTAGACCGGGACCAGGACCAGGACTGAGACTGGGACTGAGACCGGGACTGAGACCGGGACCAGGACCAGGACTGAAACAGGGACTGAACTGGGACTGAGACTGGGACTGAGACTGGGACTGAGACCGGGACCAGGACCAGAACAGGACCAGGACTGAAAACTGTTTAGTCCTGGTTCAGTCCTGGTTCCATATGCGGCGCAAACAAAAAGTTGAAAACTGAAAAAAATGAATCACCATTTTTTAAACTTTGGTTTTGGAGACAAATAATGAAGAAAATAGTTATTTTTCTGTTTTCTTGTTTTGGTTTTATATTGAAAAACGAATGAACAAATGATACACGGATTGTCATTGTTCTCTACACTCCTTCACTCGCTCTCAGGGTCAGTTCCAACTTATTGTCCCAAAACGAGACTCAAAAGCTCAAAAGACCAGGCCTTTTCTGTGGTTGGCCCCAAACTTTGGAACGCTCTTCCCCTCACGTTAAGAGCGCCCCCTTCAGTCGACTCTTTTAAGTCTTGTTTAAAAACACTTTTACTCACTGGCTTTTAAAGGACCACTAAACACCCAAACCACTTTTTTCTTCTGATTAGCTGTGTAAATGGGTCTAAAATAGAATCCCTGGGCTTTTTTGGGGATTTTTGAGAATATTTGTTAAAAATCAGACTATTGGGTCAAAGTTGTGTCTGTACCGGCCTCTTTACAGTTCAACTACAGCCAGTACATTTGAATTTTCGGGTTGGACTAATGGCCGCCGATGAGTCAGATGCAGGTTATTGCGTGACGAGCGCAGACACTGGCGTCTATGGGCGATGCGTGAGGAGCCCTGCCCCGACCTGGCACCACTGGGCACCGCGATGTCCCACCGTGTCTGGGGAAAAGGGAAATGTGGTGATCTGAGCACAAATGTCCACTCTGTTTCAAAATCCGGAGCGCACTGGTCCGTGCTGTGTTGGATTGTGTGGGTGTCAGTCAGCTGTCAATCATCGCTCCAGACCCCGCCCCACACCTGCTCCTTACAACCCGCTGGAGGATTTTTCAGATTTTGCTTAGATAAGGCTTTGGGAGAGTGTTTAGTGGCTCTTTATCTTTATTTTAATTTTCTCAGAAATCGACAGTGCCCCTTATGTATTAATTCTGGTTGTGTTTACTGACCTCAAATCAATTTCATGTGGTACCCGGCGCTCAAAAATCTGTCAAAATGTTTTAGTACAACTTTGGTAAGCCACAAAGCTGCACCACTTGATGGACTGATGAACAGAGAGCTGATTTTTTTCAATGCTTATAGTTTATGCAAATTAGCCAAGTGGTTTTAAGTTTCGTTTCTGTAAAATGTAAACTGTAAAATGTAAAAATGTGCACAAAGCTGCATTAAACACATCATTACTCAATGTATATTTAAGTCCTCCTCATAGGAAATAAAAAACAAACTTAAATGATCCACCCAAATTCACATTCATAATCCACATTCACCAAGACAGGGAGGTAACGCCGGACGAATTACGCCGCAATTTGCCGTGGATCGTGGACGCTTGGGCTCAGGGATCAGTTTCAAGTGTCGTCTGTTTGTTTTGCTTAATACGTCTTATAATTCGGTGCGCCTTATAGTACGAAAAATACGGTAAATACGTAGTTATAACCTAAGGATGCAACGTTAACGATTCCGATACTACAGCTTTAAGTCTCTGGCAATCCCAACATTTTCCCATTTATGTAACTGTTATTTATCTCTCAAGTAACCACAGAACAGCTTTGTATAAATGATAATTAAAACATTAAGGAAGTTTCTGGGCCAACCACGACCATATCAGCTAAACCTAAATTTGGAAGCTGATTACCGATTCAGCTCATTTTGAAACTCGTGTAAAGAAACATTTGGTTTTGCAGTGCAGCCCTGTGAGTCTTACGGGACAGGGATCAGGGCAATCAAAGCCGCAGGAGTCCAAGCACACACTCAGGAATTACACCGCGCCATCTGAGCGAGAGCAGGCCACACATCCAGGAATTAGACCGCTCCGTTTGAGGGAGAATTAGACTCATCCTCTTTTCCAAACGAGTTATTAGGAGTGAGGAGAGAAGCAGAATAATCTCAGCTTCAAACACCTGCAGCAGAAACATCTAGACCTGTCCTTAATCTCAAATGAGGGACTAAATACTCTCCGGATTCAGTTCATCTATTCACAATATCTACATCAAACAGGCAGAATACTTTTCAGTGACATCGCGCTGGGGGTGTTCTGCATGTATATCGATGATGGGATGTTGATCAGTTGCCATGGTGACACAATGCAAAGATTAGCAGTTTAGGAGTTTGATTTTCAACAACAAAGCTGAGAGTGACTAACTGAAAAACTGTTTGTGACTGTAATGTTCCTCGTTTAACAGCACAAATAATTTCACTTGCTAAATCTGCTCTTTTTTGTCAGATTGTGTTAAAATTAGGGGTGGGACTTGATTTTAAAAATATATCAAATTAATTACAGGCTTTGTAATTCTCAGTTAATCGCATAATATTTTGTCTTACTCGTTTACTCATTTCCTTC